ATATGTATTATTTATTTGAATTGCATTTAAGTAATAAAGAAATAAAACTTTTATTCATTTATTAATGACCACAAAAGATGGAATGGCATAGTGGCTTATAGGTGAAGATGTTAGGCTCTCTTTTGCTTCTTGACACGGGTTTGAATCCTTGTGACTCTTTTTTTCAGTAGAAGAGCACATGCATGCGCCGCGCGTTCACACGCATAGCGTATCATACTATATTGGTCCGTATCGATGTGTAACAACCGATACAGTACATATCGATACACGCCCGTATCGGCCCGATACGCATGACTGGTAGGATACATCTCTAGTCGTAGCGTATCCCATACCAGAGACACTAACGATACCTATATGATACGCCCTGCATTGGACCGTATCGTATCGATATTTCAATCCTTGATTGTAGGTTTTTCAAGTAGTCGAGGTGCTGAGCCGAGATCTCCCTCAATGACCGAGGTGCCAAGCTGAGGTGGCACCCTATGTAAACATTTGATTAGGCTCATGAGACTTTTGATTGCAGGTCTCCCAAGTAGCTGAGGTGCCAAGACAAGGTGTCCCTCAATAGCCGAGGTCTCCCTCACCTGCTAAAGTGTCGAGTTGAGGTTTCCCTAGTAGGCGGGGTGTCGAGCTAAGGTCTCCCTTAGTTGACGAGGTGCCAAACTAAGGTCTCCCTCAGTTGTCGAAGTGTTGAGCCGAGGTCTCCCTAGTGGTCGAGGTGTTGTCTAGCTCGAGCTCGATTCGAATTAGAGACTTGAGCTCAAGCTCGGAAGTTCGAGCTTGACTACCTTTGATTGTAGGTCCCCTAGCAACTAAGATGTCGAGTTGAGGTCTCCCTTAGTTGGAGAGAGAGTGGCATTCTTGTAATTTATAAGGAAAGAGAGAGATGACAGGAGAGAGAGAGACATTCTTGTAATTTATAAGGAGAGAGAGAGTTGATAGGAGAGAGTGGCATTCTTGTAATTTGTAAGAAAAAAGAGGGAGAGAGTTGGTAAGAGAGAGTGGCATTCTTGTAATTTGAATGGAAAAAAGCAAGAGAGAGAGTGTGTGTGACATTCTTGTAATTTGTAAGACAAAGAGAGAGTGGTATTCTTATAATTTGAAAGAAAAAAAAGCAAGAGAGAGATAGAGTTGGTAGGAGAGTGGCATTCTTGTAATTTGAAAGAAATAAAAGCAAGAGAGAGAGAGAGTTGGTAGGAGAGAGTGGCATTCTTGTAAATTGAAAGGAAAAAAGCAAAATTTACTATTAGATTCCATTTCTTGCCTTCTTAGGCCTTCTTTCGTACATATTCTAACTTAATGTATTTACTAGCGGAGGGGGCCCTGCGTTGTAGGGGCTCGCTCATAAACTATCAAGCTCGAGCTCGATTCAAATTAGAGAATTAAGAGCTCGAGCTCGGCTCGAGTTAAAAGCTCGAAAGTTCGTGCTCGGCTACCTTTGATTGCAGGTTTCTCAAACAGTCGAGGTTCTGAGCCGAGGTCTCCCTCAATTGCCGATGTGCCAAATCGAGATCTCCCTCAGCTATTGAAGTGTCGAGTTGAGGTTTTCCTATCAGGCAAGGTGTCGATCTAAGGTCTCCCTTAGTTGACAAGGTGCCAAGATGAGGTCTCCCTCAATGACCGAGGTGCTGAGTCGAGGTCTCCCTCAATGGTCGAGGTGTCGTCTAGCTCGAGCTCGATTCGAATTAGAGACTTTAGCTTGAGCTCAGAAGTTCAATCTCGGCTCGTCTCAAACTCGACTGCCTTTGGTTGTAGGTTCCCTAACAGCCAAGATGCCGAGCTGAGGTCTCCCTCAGTTGGAGAGAGAGTGGCATTCTTGTAATTTATAAGGAGAGAAAGAGAGAGAGATAGCATTCTTGTAATTTGTAAGAAAGAAAGAGAGAGTTGGTAGGAGAGAGTGGCATTCTTGTAATTTAAAAGAAAAAAAAAGCAAGAGAGAGAGAGATAGAGAGAGAGAGTTGGTAGGAGAGAGTGGCATTCTTATAATGTGAAAAAAAAAGAAAAAACAAAAGAGAGAGAGAGTTCGTAGAGAGTGGCATTCTTATAATTTCTAAGAAAAAAGACAAAAAAATACTATTAGATTCCATTTCCATCATCCTCAGGCCTTCTTAGGTACTCATTTCAGCTTAATATATTTATATAGATATAGATATTGATATTTTAGTTCACATAATAGCATATAATACATGCATATCGAAAGAAGAGTGTAAATATATGTATAGCCCACCACCTTGGGTGAGGTCTTTGTTTGGTGATGGTCACTCTTGTAATTTTGTTTTGAATCAATAAGTAATTAATAGTTTTCTAAAAAAATAGAGAACCAAACAACTGCTTGCTTTTAACATCTGGGTCTGGTTTGACATAATGCAATAACTTAATTAGCTAGGTTGTAGCAACTCCCCCATTCCTTGCTCTTTAGCCTTTACAATAGGGCTGCTGAAAATAATATCCATTAACCAAGACTTAGAACTCAAATTCCACTAAGGGTAATCCAAATTTGATCTGTTTATATATATTCCCAATGCACACATGCAGGTTGTAGCACCTGCATGGAATCCAAGGCAAGTATGTATGTTTACGGGAAAGATTCATAAATTCAAGTTTGAATTAATTTTCAATCAAATTTATTACGAAATATAATAGGGCCAGGTAAAAGACTTGAACCTCCCTTGACATTATTGATAAATACTAAAACCTCCCTTGTCCAATATTAATGCACTAATTGGAATTAAAACTAGATATACCCAGTTGGATCTGACCCATTATTGCAACCCTACTTTACAATAAAATAAAACCTAGAGACTATGACTAAGACTATAAGCCCCAACTCTGGTGACCCTTAGAGATTGACATGCATCAATTCCCATTCTGCTCCATCCGCCTCCAACGATGAGGTCCAGCTCAGTATCAATTAATATATAAAAGCAAGGCCAACCAACAATGGTCAATGGGTTTGAGTAGAGAAATGAGTAATGAGAGGATGAGATGAGATTACACCACATACATATTATTGATTGAATTAGAAAATGTATGCCTGGTGGCATTCACGTGGAATCTACACTCCCTCCCCCTCCCATTAACTGATGTGGTGAATGGTGATGTTGATCGCCTTCACAATTTCCCTGCCCCCTCACTAGCCATGAGTGCTCTTCCATATCAGCAATCCATCTTCCTTCAGAAAATAAAAGTAATATGGTTAGCTACTTTAGCTTATGAATGATAAGTTGTTGGTGAGTTACAATGGAAAGCCATGAAAGGAAACAAGAAACTGATGAGAAAAGCTCAGTAACGGCTTCTTATTTCTTATTCTCCTTTTGCCACAATAACATTAAAGTGGATCTAATGGGTTCAGCTGCACTCATTCTTCAGAGTTCAGACGAGATGCATTCTCTCTGTTGTAACTGTTAATAGACGAGATGCACTCATCTATCTTGTCTTCTTCTTCTTCATAAGATTAATCCTGTTATCTTATCCATTCTTTCTCGGCTGAGATATGTAGTATAGCCTTTCTTAAGTCTGAAGAAAAAGTTCAAAAAAACTGTAATTAGCTCATGACTAAGGATTGGTCGATTTCCTAGATTTGTGTATAGTTTGCATACAAATGGGTTTAAAACTTGGTGAGAACCCAAAACATGTTTCTATGCTAATGAGCCCTTCATACAAGAAATGAGTTTAAACAATAGAAAAGAGCATACCAACTTGCTCGAAATTGTTTGTTTTGTTTTTCCATTCTTTTCTGTATCGACTTCTTTAATCAGAAAGCAATTAATAGGAGAATAGAGGTGAAAGGTACCCCTACTGATGCATATTAATATATGTAGATACTTTATATTTTCTTTATTAAAGAATGTACTTTTGGATAAAAAAAAGTAGGATTAATTATATCAACTTAAACTAGTGTTGTGAAGAGCCCTTTCACAAATAACTTCATTTACACAATAGCTCTTAAATATCTGATCGGCTTGAGAAGGGGACTGTGTTAGATGGGCCCCACTGAAAATACGTGGGGTGGGTCTGAAAATGCCATTATATTAGATCAATTGAAAATAATGGACTTTTTAGTAATTCATATGATTTAGACTTCAGTGCTGATATATATAGTTGCACTATATCATTTCATCTATTAGATTAATCTTCACAGCACTTTCCACAATACTCTTATAAAATATGCAATATTGGCAAATCAAGTCTTAAATCTCTTATCCTTCCTTGTGAGTTTTTCTCGATTGGTGGTTTTATCCTACCAACTTTTGGTTTCCTCTTGGGGAGTGTTAAGACAATCACTTTCATTACCAAAGGTTGGAGACCCAAGGCTTATATGATAACCCGACCCATTACGCAACTAAACCGTCAACTTATGAGATGACCCATTACGCAAGGTTGGGCACCCAAGGCTTCTTAACAGTTTTATCAGTTATCACATTATTAAAAGGCAAAAGATGAGGTCCATGGACCTTGACCATGACTACTCATAATTTGCCACATGGCCCCATCTTCAACCACTGGAACCCATCATTCAATGGGTGCCATCTTAAACACTTCAGATTGAAACAAAATCGATCGCAACCACTGAAAGGCTCACAAAATGAAGTAGTAATGGAGCCCCAAACCCAATACAGCCCCCCTTCACCGACAGAGCGGAAAACCAAATGGCCCAAATCTTCAAAAGGAAATTAAGGCTGAATTTTTTCGTTGTAGTGGTTCTTGGTTTTGGTTCTTCAAATTGATGAAACCTTCTAGATGGGTTTATAATCAAGGTTTAGGACACAGATTATACAGAACATGATTGCTTGAATTAATTTCCTGCTTGTAAACTAAACTAAGGTGATAAGGTGATATACAACTAAGCAATGCACAAAACGTAACAAAAATCCATTTTAAATGTCACATCGATTGTGCATTTGTGCCCATTACTGTTACAGCACAGTAGAGCATTTTCCTCGTTCTCTCTATAAATACCCTCCTTTAGGGAGTGTGCCTTCCACACGCCTACGCCTTCATCTCTTCTATATCTGTTATATATTTTCGTTGCTCTCTGCTCTCTTTCCTTCATGGCAGCATGCGCAGTTGGTGAAAATCGTAACGAAGCATCCCTCAACAAGCAAGCCAAAATGGCGGTTCCCCATTACGACGTCGAGCAACAAACAAGCCAGAAGCTTGAGAAGGATGATTTAGACTACTCTCAGAGAGCACAGTGGCTTCGAGCTGCAGTCCTCGGAGCCAACGATGGGCTGGTGTCCACAGCATCACTGATGATGGGAGTAGGAGCGGTGAGACACGACATCAAGGCTATGATACTAACTGGGTTTTCCGGATTGATTGCCGGAGCCTGTAGCATGGCAATTGGGGAGTTTGTTTCTGTTTACTCTCAGCTCGACATAGAGATGGCTCAGATAAAGAGAATGAAGGAGAGTGTCAACAATGGAGATCAGGAAGAGAGGACGACAGAGCGCTTGCCGAACCCCATCCAGGCAGCTGCAGCATCAGCGTTTGCGTTTTCGGTTGGAGCATTGGTTCCACTCCTGGCGGCATTGTTTGTAAGGGAGTATAAGGTGAGGTTGGGTGTGGTGAGTGCAGCTGCTAGCTTGGCGCTGTTGGTGTTTGGAGGAGTTGGAGCAGTGTTGGGGAGAGCACCAGTTGTGAGGTCGTGTCTGAGGGTATTGATTGGGGGATGGCTAGCCATGGCTATTACTTTTGGATTAACCAAATTAATTGGATCTAGTGGTCTGTAGAAGCCTACAATTAAGGTGTTTATTTCCTTCTTTTGTTGTTGTGTTGTTTGTTGTCAGATACGTTAACATTAATGGAGGGTTGAAGGAGGTTCACTTGATGATCATGGATTTGGAGGAGGATTCGTGTCCCTTTTTATGAGCAGAAGTGGTTTTTTTTTTTTTTTCTTTTTGATCTTTTCCTTTCTCTGTTTTTTTTTTGTTTATAAAACAGCCATGCTTTGTTTCCTTGTAGACCTTTTCTAAAGTATGCTTTGTTAGGACTTGGACGTCTAAGTGAAACGTCGTCAGAGTACAAATAATAAATATTTGGAGCTTGTGTTATATTTTCATGTTTTGATTCGATTACGGATAGCCACATCTGCCACCTTTAAACGCAGAATCCGCAGATAGTAAGGCTGTGTGTGGTTTGAAGGAAAAAGTAGGGAAAGGAAAAGAAAGATAGGGAAACGGAAAAATAGGTTTTCTCACTTTTCCCTTCCTTTCCCTAACTTTTCTTCAAACCAAACATAATCTAAGGTGATGGAGAGAGAGAGAGATGAATTCTACTCTATTCCTACTCAACCAACCCGACTCTGGTAACCTTTGGCATGATTGGTTTCCGAGAGCCTAGGGTTTGGAAATAGATTCTGATATCATTTTTTTTTTGATAAATGATAGATTCTCATATCTTTCTGGGCAAACAGGCAAACAACCAAAACAAATTTTGCGTGTGGATCACTACATTATATACTTTACCTCATATATCAACCAATCACTGTGAGGCTCTGAGGCATATTTTATACTATCAAAAGCTCAGTTTGGTAAGAGTACAAATACAAATATGTACAGTTAAAATACATACAAAATAATACAAAATATAAGGTTTTGCACTCTACATATTTGTATTTGTACTCCTTCCAAACAGAGCCTAATACTCAGACTTGGGAAGAGTACAAATACAAATATCTTCAGTGCAAATACAAGGTTTAGAAATGCCTTATACAAGGTTTTGTATTTGTGCTCTTCCCAAACTGAGCCTAAGTTAAATTTCAATCTAGACGGCCGAGGTCCATTCCATTACACCCATTCTTGAATCTTGATTCATGTGGGTTGGATTGGTCAGGGGAAAAAGAGCCAGTTCCATCCAACTATGACTGTGGATTTGTGGATTTATAGAATCAAGGAAATAAACAAGGTTCAAAGTTTCAATACAGAGTTGTACACTATAACTTCTACCCCACTATGTTTAACATTTAAACATGTAGAATTTACCTAAAAGGAATTTAAGCACCACAAATACCTAGTTCAGGGGCATGAGATGAAGAAAAATCTTCCTTCTTATTTGTGCCATAATGTGGATGAAATGAGCCCTCTAACTGAGTTGTGATTAAACCATCAACTATGAGAAGTGCTTTACATAATAGGTAATAAAAAAATTAACAAATTGGACATGAGCTCCGCTGTATGCATGACTATACATTTTTAATTATATGCAGAAAAGGCAAAAATTATATGGAGAAAAGATTATCTGCCATTTGGTGTGCCTGCAAGAACATCTGAAACAGAACACCATGCATAATTACAGGGTTTCAATGGCAAGAAAAGCTCAGAATCCCTTTGCGCCTCTGCTCACAGGTTGTGCACCAGGAGCATCATTGGCCAATGTCAGGGACCTGATACCTTGTCTAAGCAGCAATTCTTTGATCTCTCTATAACTCTGAAGCTCTTTCAATGCATCAGCAGCTGTCTTGGATACAAGAAGCCTAGATGGAGTGAAACCTGGACAGGAGGCAGCATTCTGAACCTCTCTAACTTCCAAGTTTGAGGTCTCCTTGGCATTCCTGGTGCTTTTTCTCTGGTTTTGAGGCTTGGGGACATGTTGCAACTTGAATGAGGTAGGATGACGATGGAGAGATGGTGCTGTCTTTAGCATGTTTACAAGAGAACCTAAAATAGCCTCTTGGGACTTCCTGATTGGGAGTTCACCAGGCTCAAGCAGCTCACTAAGAAGCCTTTTTCCATCAAAAGACTCAGATCTGTAAGAAAATAAACAATATTATTAGAATAGCACAGTTGAACATTTAGGAAGGAGGAGATGTTGGTGTCACGCAATTTAACACAAACCTCAGGAAGTAAGAACAGATAAAAATTTTGTCATTTTAATAGCATTATTAACATATTCTTCTATTTTTTTCCTTTGTGTAGAACGTATAATACTACATCTAATACTGGAAAATGGTGCAACATTTAAGAATGCAACATGTAAATCAACTGAACGGTTTAACATAATATCACTGCCACTTGGTCAGTTCAGATAATTGCATGTAATATATAGATGGCCTGACAAGCTCATCCAAGCCATTACATGAGACTCGGGTTAATTCAGAGTAGGGTTACTAGCTCGCAAATGCAACAGTGGAAATAGGTCTGAATTGGTTCAAAATCCAAACAGTCATAAGTAAACAAGGAACTTTACAGTATCACAACCAACAAAAACTGTGAAAGAATTCAGAATAAAGTACATAATTTTAATATCGGATAAGGTCTAGTGAAGAGCATACAGTCAATATCCAATTGATTAATTCAGGTGCTACTAGTTATTCAGTCTTCATATTTTTTTATTAGGTATTCCTTTACAAATTCCCAGAAATTAAATAAGAGCAAGAAGAAAAAGAGCTCTTAAAGCATACATCTTTTTAACATAATAATCTAATGCCCATTAAAAGAAACAAGAAATTGAAAAAGAACAGAAAGAAAACAGAAAAGTAAATAAGATCTACATCAATTTTTAAATATGAAAGCAATTTTGGTTTTCCTTAATGAAGGCTGAGTTTGTAAACAATGATTGCAACATTTTTGCTAAATTGAAAATATCATCTTAGTTATCTGGCATAAAAAAAATCCTAGTTTTTCAATATCCAAGTCAATAGTTCTAAATTTATCATCCATGAGCCACATCAACTTTACATCCACTTTTAACACAATTCCATGCCGTTTCAAATAACATACCACAGCTACATGGGGTCGGCTACTTTAGCACAACTCTGCCAGTGTGATCTTGTCTTACACTGACGGTCCAAGCCAGGATAAAGGAGGGTTGCATCAGGTCTGCAGCCAGCACTAAAACTTTTTGCTAAACTCTCATGCCATCCCAAGCACTAGCTCAACAAGTTGAATCATAAATAAATTACACAATTGTTATGTTCGAGAGCTTTTTTTTATTTAATCAAAATAAACAGAGGACAAACATTCCATTTATCAATCGTCCGGCTTTACCAAGAAGATAGCAAATGGTTCCTACAATAAACTCTTCCTGAAGTCTCAAAATTACAGTCATAGAAAGTAACTTCTGGTAAATATTGTGTTTCTTACAATGAATCTGTAGGGATAAAAGTGATGAAGACCAAATGAAAAGATGAGTCATTAAGGTTTAGGATGAATTAGTGATGTTTGGTAATTCAGTGCTGTTTGGTAATTCAGTAAATTGTGGTGGTCTGTGATCTCTCTCTCACTCAATCTTTTTTTCTTTTTTTTTTAAATGGATAATAAAAATAAGGAATGGTTCTAATACTACATTACCAACAATTCTAGAAGGATCAGGATTGCCAACAAAGATCAGCACAGTTTGAGTCCTTGGATCTTTGAAAACCAAGTTTACTTTACTTCTCACATCCTATGGGGATCACACTATTGAATTGTTAGCTTTTTCATTATGTCGTCCTTTCATGTTTTGAGAATTGCTAATAGCATGGAGAATTATTTAGCTAGGCAAGGAATCATTAGCAATCCCTATCAGTAGCAACTCTATTCTCTATTGCATTTAATTCACTAAAAAATTATTAACAGTCCAGTTATCAACACAGACCCGAAGGAACATGAAGTAAAACAATAAAAGAAAATGCCATGTATTGATGTAAAACAACAATCAATAGTTATTCAATGATGTACCTGGTATGTGGACCCATTATAGCATTATCATTATCATCAACAGCAAATGGACAGGAAAAATCAGAACCATTGAACTCATCCTGGAAAGACAATCTGCTGGATCTCCCAGAATAGACCTTCTAAAGGCATACAAACACAAATTATGCAAACTGGTGACTTATGTAAATGAATATGAAGAGTGTGATAAAAAGAATAATTACCAAAATACTACCTTCAGAGCTGTTATGCATGTCTGAATATCTCCAGACCTCACTGGAGTTTTAACATTATCAATCTGTGAGCAACCAGGCATTGTGCCTTTTGAGGAAGGAGATAGAGGCAACATATGACTGTCGGATAATGTGTTTTCAACAATCTTAACTGCAGGTACGCCGGCTGGAGCACTTTCACGGGGCAAAAGAGCCTTTAATTGATAAACATCAGGTACATTGGTTGGTGGAGATGGAGGGGAGAGAGACAATGTAGATGATGACAAATACTCTTTGAAACTTCTGTTCTTCTTATGAACCACCAAACTTGTATTGCTCGAATGATGTGATGGGTTTGCAGGTTGATGGTGATTGGTACTCACACCAGAAGGAATAACACAAGAACCAGAGTTTGTTGGTGAGGGCAACAATGAAGATGCAGAGGCTCCATAATGATCACAACTCCAACTGTGCCTCCTAGAACATGGAGAGGAAGAAGGCGAACCTTGAGACACCAATCCTGCCGAAGGAAGAGAAGAAAACCTTTTAAGAGGATTTGTTGTTGGGTTCCCCACATAATCTGGTATGAGCTTTGGGGAAATTGGGATTGAGGGTTCAGAGTTAATATCCAACAGTGTTGGATAATACAGCACAGAAGTACAAAGCCTGCCACCATTAGTATCTATTGGCATGAACCCAAGTTGCTGCATATCGGCCTCCTCTGTTCGTGTAAAAGGCTCAACAAATGAACGAACACTTTGTTCAAGGCTAAATGTGTGAAATTGGCCTGAAGAACTGAGTTCTTTGAAGAGTTTGTATGCAGGTAATAGCCTCAGAGTCAGATATAAAGACCTTAACAATATAATGGATTTCTTATACAACGAATGAGTGCTAGTACTACCCGCCCTCTTGCTCCATGCACTTGAATCCTTATTCATCCGACTCTCGTACTGCACGATCCACCTCTCTATGATTCTTTCTCTCTTCCCTTCCGACCCAAATTCTTCCTGCCCAGGATTCCGACAATACGGAAGCCGCTCTTTGAAAGAGTGGTTCCTCGTCAGACACCTCATTGGGGAACATCGAATAGGATCCCAGCCCATCGGTCTCTGGACGAGAATCACATCGACCACCATTGGTTCCAGATTGCTCTGGCGCCGGAGGTCAATGTTCTCTAAAGCCGACGGGCAAGCCCGGAGTGCTAAGTTGAACCATTTATCTCTGGGCTTGACAGTTGAAGATGAAGACGGAGACGAAGATGGTGACAAGAGAGCCTGCTTACCACTGCAATACCGGGAGGAAATAGAAGGAGACCTTGACTCCAGTATTATGTGGAGACTCTTTGTGAAGAACTCGTTAATTATCTGCTCGATTTTTTCTGATTCGGAGTGACAATTGCTCTGAGAAGAAGCCATAACACTCACACTCTAACCCCCTCTCTAAACAAAAAATTTAATCAATGTAAAGCCATTGTAATTTGTAAACTCGAAACTCAATGACCCTTCCATAACTGTGAAATAGAAAACTTCAGAATCCATTTAAAAATCCACCGTCGCCGCAACAGAGGATTCAATCGTCGTCAGGCAAATTGTAACTTGTAAGCTAACAAAAACAGAAAAAAGAAGCCTTTTGAACTGAAGAGAGAATTAAAACATGCAAAATTCATCGAAACGAATATAAAAAAGAAACTGGGTGACAAAAAAAAAAATCAGAAAGATAGAAATCTGAATGACAGCAAGCACTAACTTTATACGGTTCCTTCATTGTTGGAAAATCTGGAAGGAAAGTAGGAGAAACCCGTTAAGAATGGAGAGGATCCCGATTGTTGGGTGGGGGTCCAAACTCCTAAGGCTTGAGAACAGAAGAAGAAGAAGATGAATAGGTCACGCCTTCTGCGTAACTTCCTAGTCAGTCAAGGAAGCAGAGAAAAACAAAAGACGAAGCATCAACTAAGGTGGAGAAAACAGTATTGAATTGAATGTCGTTGAAGTTGCAAATATGGATAGTTAAATGGGTTTTAGGAAATTAATTGGGCTGACGAGGCCCAATCTGTGCTTGAGGTATTGCAAATTGGGCCTGGCTTAAGATGTACACAGCTTACCATTTATGTAGGGGTGAATTATAGATGGTTAGGGTTTGGAGGAAAAGTTTCCAAACCTCAAACCAACTTTGGGTGAGACTTTGATCTGAATAGTGTTACTAGGTCCCCACTTATCGTTTATTCTTTTAGGTTTCGTGGGGCCACACAATGGGGTAGTCTATCTTTGCTAGGGGTGTAACTCCGGTTGGTTCGAGTTAGCTTTTGAATTTTTTTCTTTGAGTTGGGCCCATTCAAATTTTGACAAAAGCCCAACACGAGCCCATTCAAATTGCACCGGCAAGTCTTGTGGTTAGCAGATCTTGTCCAACCCCAACCCTCCACCTCACAGTTATAAAGGCTTGAGTATCAGATGTTGAGAAATAATAGATGCCCAACTGTAGGTTAGTTGGACATAAATCCAAATAAATTCCGCCCAACCTCGTATAATGAAAAAGTAATTGGGCCATTGAAGATGGGCTGGAACTTCCAAGTCACAAGAGAGGCGTAAACGGTAAACAGATGGAGAAGCGTGCCTACAAGGAATGCAAATCCTACAGTAACAAGGCAGATGGTGCATGCGTGTGGGAGTTCGCTTTCTTTTCTTTGGAAGTTTTTGTTTGAGCTGCATCAATTCTCATCCGATGATTAAGCCACCTTTGCTTTTTTAATAACATTAGTGGAGAAGCACGGGTAAAAATGAATGAAAAAATAATAGATAAAACTATAACTAAATTTATTAAATTTATTAATGTAAATTAAGTATGACAAAGAAAATACAATTTGAAATGAAAATATCGATTTGACTCTAAGTTGGGAAGAACTTGGATTTAGGCTATTAGAAAGTGGTTTGATTGATGTTTGACAATTTATGATTATTTCTTTGCTATTATTTTCTCATCTGTTTGTATATATGTTATTTACTATTTTTCATGCCCTTTTTTGTATTGTCTTAAATTGGTACTTTTCACTACTTCATCAGAAAATATAAAGTGGGGTGTGTCGACACGATTTTGCAGGTTGTCTATGCTTTTACAGGCTGTGTCATGCCAACACGTGGTCTTGGGTGGGTCATTCCCTACCTGAAACTCTTCAAAGGTTAGGCTTGCAACACAAGCCCAAGCAGGCTCAGCCATAGGCCAGGGTGTGAGAGGCATGATTTAAAAAAAAAATTTGAAAAAGATAATGAAAAGTTAAATAAATTAAAAAAATAGACAAGAAATTGAAAAAATCTTAAAATTTTATTCTATATGAATTTTGATGTATACAATTGTTTATATATGACATTAAAAAAAATTATGATATAATTTGCATAAAGTAGTATATATATATATATATATATATATATATAATAGATAGATAATTTGTTCTATATCGTGTTGACGCACAAGCCTCAAAACCCAAGCCCAACACAACTCGGAGGTATGGAGTGGCCCAATTGCTACAGTGATTGGGTTATATTGGGTATAACCCACTTTATAGTTTCACATTTATGAGAGATCAAACATTAGAATAGAAAAAAATGATGAAGGTAAAAATGAAAGGATGCAACTTTGATTGATAGTGAGTATGTTAATGGTTAGTATTCATTTTTATTGGAAAAAAAACTTTGTTTCATAGTGTACATCCCATTTAATGATAGGTTAAATAAATATTGGAATAACAAAAAAAATAGAGGGTAAAAAGGGATCATGATTCAGTTTGATCCTATTTTATCAGATTTGGATATCTTCATTATGGATTTTCGGATCTGATTAAAAACTGAATCAGATTCGGATCACCCCTATCCGATTCAAAAGGATCCAATTTTTTGTTTATATTATATTTTATAAATTTTTATATTATTTATTTTTACTAGAAAACATGTATATATGATGAAAATAGTTGAAAAATACTTTCATTTTATTGTTTTTCTTTATATAAATTGTTATATTTTCTTTTTTAATAACTTATCAAATTTGGAGCTAAATCAATATTAGTGAGATCTGGTCGAATTGGATTGGACCTATAATTTATCAGATTGGATTTAGATATACCCTTATTTGAATCCGACCCGATTCATTTGCATCCCTATAAAAAGGGAAAGTGTAATAAGGATTTTTGACAAAATATTGTTACCACATCTTCATTTTTATTATAGAAATTATAGAAATATATAATGGTTATAGAGAAATTAGGGTATAATGGCTAAGGAAGGACAATAATGGAAATATAAAATATTGTATATAATATTGTAAAATACAATTGGAATAACAATGACTAAAGGGGGGTAATAATGGAAATAGATAATCGATTACACATCTACCATTCTCATTTTAATAGAAATAAATAAAAATATCCTATCTTTATTCCTCACTTGAATTGCTATGTCATAAAAATCAGGATATAATGACTAGGGGCAATAGTGAAAATAGAAAATTCAAGGTCTTTTGACGATAACCATTTTCATTTTTATAAATGGTACAGATATTTTGGGGTGGGGATGAGTAGGATGTGGTATTAGGTTAAATTTAATCATTTCCGACTTGCATAGGAAAGTATATTATTATTATTATTATTATTTATTTATTTATTTTATTATTATTATTATTTTGTAAATATGAACTTTATGTATTAGGTGTTGAATTTAATAATCTTTTGAATTTTATGTGAAGGATAATTGATAGTTTATGTGTTTCATATGTATTAATCAAATAATTGAAATTTTTGTTGTTTGTTCATGCTTTTTTTACTTATTTATTGCTTATATACAACAAGAAATAATAGGAAATTAGATGTAGGTTTTAAACCCAAGACATCCTACCACTAAATGTGCGGTGGGAAGGATCAGAGAGGGTTTTGCATTTTCATGTGTAGGGAGGGTTTGGATTCTCAAAATCCATCCCACTACGGGTTTTGGAGCAGGTATAGGTTGGGAGGTTTAGGGAGGCAGGTATGGTCTATAATTTACAAAACCCTCCCCGAACTTGCCCCATTGCCGTCCTTAATGGCCAAATCCTTATTGTTCTATTTTTTGTGAGTCCCTACCAAAAAAAAAAAAAAAAAGACAATAAAGGCTTACACCAATTATTCGTTGAAACGGAAACCCCAAAGAAACCCATGCCAATGCTAGCCAAATTAGGAATAGCAAGTGGCCTGGTCTAGGGCAGGGAACCCAGTCCCTCTATGCTTCTCTGTGAAATAAAAGACTAGTATCACTGTCAACAACTCTCAAGGCTGAAAAGAGGTGGAAGCAAACCTTCAAAGTTTTGGATCTTATTATTCATCATCATTGTCTATGCCTTATCCCAAGTATATGGGGTCGGCTATATGAATTCCATTTCACCAATCCCTTCTATTTTAAAGTCATCTCAACTATTAAATTATTAGTGCATAAATCATTTCTTACTACTTCCATCATTGTCCATTTTGGTCTACCTTTGAACTTTTTTAGCCACTTTAACATATAACTAATCACTTATTTTAACTGGTGCAATTGATGGTCTTCTATACATGTGCCCAAGCCATCTTAATCTGCTCTTTCTCATTTTATCACCTATTGGATCCTATTATTATGATTTTTTTTGTGCATCAGTTTCTAAAAAAAACAAGGTCCCTAATGAATGGATAGCATGAGACTCATATAGAAATTTTGATGTGCATGGTTATCATACCAAAGAAACCAGGGGTACAACTTGAGCTTTCTGCCAGGGTTGACCTTATCATGGACCAACCTAAATTTGGGCCAACAAGGTCGACCTTATCATGGACCAACCTAAATTTGGATGGTCCATGTCAGCATGTCTCTCCTTTGAGAGAAGCTATTTATCTTTTTTCTCCATTTTTTGCATTTTTCCTATTTTCTTTTGTTTTAAAAATATAAAAAAGTAATCATTACCTATTTTGATTAGATTAATAAAGTTGCACAATATTAAAAAGAGAGGGGGAGAGGGAGGGAGGGAGTAGTAATACAACATAATAAAGTAAAATATTAATAAGTCAAATAATATTAATAGGTTGAGGTTATACAATCAAACATAAAACAACAAAAAGTATTAGTTTAAAAATCCACTAAACCTCCACTTAAAACTAATAAATATTAACAAAACTTAGTAAAAATTAAAAACACTAATAAAAATCAAAATTAATAAAAAATAAATAATTAAAATATATTTTTAATATATTATTTTTATTTTATTAGATAACTTTGTATTAATATATTTTAATTAATTAATTAATAATTTTTATGAGTTGAGACCTTTATTGTGCATAGTTCCCATACTACACAAGAGACTTATACAAAATAGAAGACCCATTAAAAATGATATAAAAATAAAAAATTAATGAAATTTTAAAATGTAGAACCCATTTTATCATATATACGAAGAAAACAAGCTAAACGGGTTTGTATAGAAACCCGTAACATGTGATACACCACATACAGTAGTAGTAGTAGTAGTAGTAGTAGTAGCAGCAGTAGTAGTAGTAGTAGTAATAATAATAATAATAATAATAATAATAATAATAATAATAATAATAATAATAATTTGAAACCTAAAAACTATAATTAATAAAAATTACTAAAATGAAAACAAATATTAAAATTTAGCAAGATTTTATCTAGCAACTATTAAAACTTAAGACATTAATAAAAATTAGTATTAATTTGTACTTAGGGATGACCATTTATAACAATTAGTATAATTAATACTAATAGGATAATTAAAATTAATAATAATAAATACAAAATTATAAAATAATCATTTATTAAAAATATAAAATAATAATTACATTTGTATTTATAAAAATCATAGGTATTTATCTATTTTTTCATTAGCAAAATTGTATATCATTAATATTTAAAGTTGCACACTATTACCAAGATATTATATTATTAAAGAGAGAGAGAGAGAGAGA